AATAACATATTAAAGAGTATGGTTACTTTGAAGCCAAGAGGTAATAAAATGAGGTCATAGATCACTAATAAGTTCATTTTTAAATGGTTATTAACCAGGGGAGATAGGATAACTCCCCTTTAACAGCTCCCTTGAGACCTACTGTCCAGGTCACCAAATGTCATCTCGGCCACAATAAGAAGTGCACATCCTACGAGGGAGCGGCTACCAGAGAAACAGTAGTGACCGGCAGATGGAGGTGTCCTGAGCTACTACGATGACCCAGAGGCTGGGGTTCACGAAGGGAGCGACTACTGGAAGGAGGGTAGCTGGAGGCCGAGCTCAAGGCTCCCGCCTGATGACTCCCGGAGGAGACACGTCAGACTCAGCCGCACCGGTCACCCCCAGGTGGCTTTAGGTCCGGCCCGTCACCTCCAAACCAAGAGGGAGACATCGTCTCCTCTCCAAGACCCATCAGTGTCCTAGTGGGTAAACTAGGGGAGGAGCCACAATGGATTTCATGGCGCCCAATGTGGGGCGTGGCCTAAACTAGGCCCGCCCCCTSAGAGAAGGGTTGGACCACAGGAGTGGCCCAGCTTGCTTACAAGAGCAGAAAATGAGAATTGGCTGCTCAGTGTGCTAAAAGAGAGCCAGCAGCRCACATCCTTCACAACACCACTTGAGGAGTGGAGGAAGGAGAGGACCCTGCAGCAGGAGCTGCTGAAATGAACACAGCAAGCTCAGGGTAAGTAGCTACAATCGTCGAGAACCCATCCCTGTCCTGTAACGCGTGCAGGAGGCTTTGAGGATCAACAACTCCAATCAAGACAAAGAAGCACAATGGCTGAGGCCATACCAGTGAAAGAAGAGAAAGCGGGGACGTCACAAGAAACAGCCCCCAACCCAGATCCCAGACCACTCCCGCCATACATAATTATGCTCTATGGCAGGGGGACCAGAGAGTGGCACCCCACCGCTAAGGCGCTCTTTATGTCACATTCCACAAAGACAGACCCAGCACAAGCCCTAGCTGAACTGGAAGACCACATGACCAAAAAAACGTTCTTCTTTGGACCCACCTTGGTGGATGGGGAAGYGCTAGCCGTACTGCAGCATCCCCTAGAAACCAAAAAGAAGGTTCAGAAGGAAGAATGGGTCAAAYGGTGGCTGACACCAGTAAGGGAATGGAAAACCGACATGGTGAGGCTGGTAAGCCGGTCAGCAGAGTATGACCCCCTGGTGAGATTGGTCGCCAGGGAACAGTTCATAAGCTGCGCGGGGGCCGATCCAACATCCAAACCTGAGAAGAAATACAAGTGTCTGGAACAGCCACTGTATGAACTCAGGTTATGGAAAAACATGTTGAAGTTTAAGATCAAAAATGAGCATGAAGACGAGACCAGTGTGATCGGAGATCCCGAAACCAACACTAACCACGAATAATCAGGCCTGGAGACTGATGATG